CTAAAAGATACGAGCAGTACTTTTCTGAAATTTGAGCTTTCCAGACTCGGCGGGCCGATGCTAAAAACTCAGAAAAATGCAATAAGGCATCAGTTTGAGCAACAGTGGTTTAACGTTATCAGCTATCAGAAACCAACACGTGTTTATCGAGCGATCTGATAAAATTTAAAGCTGTTTTCCAACAAGAAAAGCAAAGTTTAGCCATCTTCTGTTACCAAACGCACGAGTCACGTAAGGTTGTCAAAGGGCAAAACACAATAATAAACTTCAAAAAGTTTCTGCGTCCAGGAATTAGATTTAAGCGGACAGAACAATGCCTGGGAGTGTATGTTTCATACCTTAGCATGGGTTTCCTATATATTGGAAATAAAAAACATCAAGGACAGCATCGGCAAGAGCATCTTCGGCTGCTCTCAAACGACGGAAATTGCGTTACTTTTCACAGATTGACTGCTTACCACCTGTTTTTGGGCTTGCATTTCGACGGAACGCTTGCCTCGAGAGGCGCGCGGCACGGATCTGAACTATTCTTCACGAGACATTGAACTGAATTTATCGGAAATATGCCACCACCACCAACAACACGAGCTTTTTTCGGGTATTTGTCGTTTTTATACGAAAAGTTCGGGTAAGCAGATTCACGCAAAAACCATTTCGCTTAAAAAATGTGTTTAAAAGCCCACCCTGGATTTGAAGCAAAAAGTATTTCCTCGAAATAGGCTAAAAAGTACCCAATTCACGCGGTGAAAAAATGGATGATTATGGAAGGATTATCGAATTCTTGCCGAACCTGAGGGATTTCCCAATTTCCCGTGATGTAGGATTAGGGGTAGGAAAAAAGCCCATAACCTGCTCCTGTCGTTGTAAATTTCCTCAAGATCAAAAAAATTTCAGTAAGAACCGAAAAAAACAGCTTAAAGGAGGTGCACGCACCTTAACCTAGCCAGCGAAAAGGGGCTTCTGATTGAGCTAAACTGTCATTGATGCACGATGCAATTGGTTAGACCTGTTACTATCCCCCGCGCAACCACAGGAACAAGTCCAGCAATTTGGGCCCGTGGGTGGGGAGTACTTTGAAGCGGTCCTGTCGGGGACTTTCGGGGGTAGGGGGCGGGGCAAATCGAAAATAACTTCTCTTTGTTTTTGTGAAGTACATCATTTCTCGCACGGTTGACAAGGTGACGGCGGACTCGATAGCTGTGGAAAGGCCCTTTTGAAACATGTCCCGGCAACATGCAGGCCATCACGAAATTGACGTCAACACCTTGTATTGAATCAACTCCATGAACAGGGAGAGGCAATAAGTCCCATCTTAAAAGATGCTTGATGTCTAGACGTGAATAGTCTGTCCGCAGTCACTTTTCATTTTGTATATCGGGACCCTTTGACAGCGCACGAGTGAACCGGAGCGCAGTAACGAGCCCTAACCCCACTCAATTGCCCTTATGCGCGTTCGAGAGCCTCCAAAGGGAATATTGAGGGTCTTTGTACAGTTTCAGTTTATTTTACCGACAAAAAAGAACAAAACAAAGCAAAAGACAAGTATACAGAAATACGCAGAAGCAATGTGGTGAGGAAGCCCAAAAAGAAACCATAAGGCTTAGGTCATCCCCTTTTCGTTCGTTTAGCGTCGAATAGGTTTCCTGGTTTTGGGTGGGTCGGTCGGTTGGGTAAAAAAAAAGTCACAAGAAATCTGAGAACAGGAGGCCTGAAACACCAGCATCATTGCCGTGGAGCCTGAAAACAACAAGACATGGTCACCAAATCGACACAAACTCAATATGGCGGAAAATGTGACGGTCAATTTCATAAAAAAAAGGCCCAAAAAGGGTAAAAAGCAAAGCGGATACACCACCGAACGTTTTATGCATGGAAATGCTGTTATAATGCTCATTTCTTAGATTAAAAGAATTAATTTAAGTCGGAAAAAAAATAAACCTTGTCGTTTCTTTCTCTTGCATTTTTAAAAAATGCCAAAAAACTGGGTCTGTTGGACAACACTTAACAAAGAAAAAATTAATATAGGTATTTAAAGCTCCCTTAAAATATAAAAGTATAAGTTTACAAGGACAGGATCGAACGTATACTGAGTAACTAAATGATAAAAATTTGATCAAAATTAAATGAAAGGCTAAGAGGCTAAGCGCTGTCTGATAACGAAACGGTAAATAAGAAGTGCTGCTTGTCATTTAATAGAGACGTGAAATACTGGGTGGACCACATCCTGAACTCCTGCGAAAACCGGAAGAGAGGAACGCTCAGGGCTAAGGAGACTAAACAGGGGGCGTAGCTGCTTGTACGCACGGTTCGCACGTGCGTACCCGAAAACGTGGAGGAGAAAAAATAGAATGAAATAAACATAACTAAAAAATTCGGTTTCCAGAGAAGCGACGGCATTAATTGGAGAACCGAATCTTGGATGATTTATTTATATAGCAAGCTTGATGATGTAAAGCGTGAACGCGTTGTTTTCTCCACGACCTGTCTTCGGATTAGACGAAGTAGGGCACAATTACGTCGATGTGTGGTGTTTTTGTCGGTCAAAAATAATGTGACAAAAAGGGGTAAAAAGAGTCATTTGTAAACTAAAATCGGAGCTGAATAATAGCTGAATTAATGATAAAAGGTTGACGTCAATGAACCGAGATAACAAGCCGACAGAATTAAAGAATTTTAGAGGTTGTGTCATTTCATAAACAGCAGAAATGCTTTTGCTTACAACCGTTAACCCCACCTTTAATAATAATCAAGGCACCTTAAAAAAATGTTGAGATTTGGGGTGGGGGGTAGGGGGGTGGGGAAGACCATGTAGAAAAATTTGGGCGTACCTCCGGAAAAATCGTGACTACGCACCTGCTAAAGCCTGAAACTGAATAACAGGAGTCTTGACGAAACGTCCTCAGATATCATCTGTCCGGAGTCGTACTTTCAAGGAAGCGCTAATCAAGAATCACTCATGACGGAATGAAAACTCCTCGTAGCTTCCAGCGAAAAAAGGAGGACAACAGTGGTAAGCAGTCGTTCTGTTAAATGTAACGCAATCTTTGCCGTTCACGATCTTTCGGCGCTTGGATTTAAAACGTTGTTGTTTGGTATGTTCTCCCGTGTGGATACCTGACATTTCCAATATATGGAAACACCATGCTAAGGTACGAACAACAGACATTCAGAACATTGTTTTGTACTCTAAAATCTGATTTCATGGACGTAAAACGTTTTGAATTTTAAGACTTTTTAAAATTAGTGCTTTGCCCTCCCTTTGACAACTTCACGTGACTGGTGCACTTGGCAGGAGTTGACAGCTTAAATCTGCCTTTCTTGATAGCAAACGGCAAAGAAGAGATGAAAGAAGAGATAAAGCTCTTTAACGTGGTAAAAGACTCGTTACTGAAATCGAGGTACCAGTGGACGATTTGGGGCTTTGAAATTTGCCATTTTTTCATTGAACGAAAACGTTCGAAATATTGAAAATAATGAAAAATCTCCAAAATATTACATTTTCGTTCAAACTGAGTAAATCACTATTTAAAATGTGTGCAATTATGTACTCTTCTGAATAAGTTATTTGTTGTCCGCATTACAATGGATTTGAATTTTAAAACGATTTTTTTGTGACACATGGTCTAGGGCCTGGATTACCCGGTCCGAGAGCCGCGAAACCAATAACCCCCCCGTACGTGGAAAATAATTATCGGATCGAAGTAAAAATTACATTTATGTTAATAGCTTACCTAGTGCTACTTTGTGAATTTTTTTGAGAATTTTCGATTTTTCACTTTTGTAGACCTCTGGTCGATATTTACTGACATCCGCTCTGTTAAGACGTTCATGTATGGAGTGGGATAAATCATGTAGCGTGCAGAGCCCCTCGTACTCACGAGCCACTTCCACCCCCAAACATTATCAGTTTTTATACAAGGAAGCCGGGAAAAAGTATTTCCAAAAAAAGATAATCACCCCGGCCCTTTCCATGCACAGTAAGGCTTTTGTACTTCTTTACAAATTTAATACAACCTGAACGATGCTTGGCAGTCTGGCAGAGGTGGGTTTTTTTTTGCTATCTCAGGGCCTCAAACCATCGCTTTTCATGAACCTGCTCTAGACTTAGCTTTCAAACTGCTGTAAGAGGTACCTCGTCGAGTTTCCTCTTTGTACCTAGCCTTCTTTAAAACTATTTTAGCTGCTTTTTTCAGGACTGTCGGTCTTCCCCTTTGTTTCTTGTCTTCAAAACCTTCATTTCTCGATGACCATTTGATCATCCTAAGTTAACACAAGAAACATTTTAAACTCCCTTTAATAGTGTCCTTTTTTTTGAAGATTTTTCTAATCTTCTGTTTGAATGATTTAGGCATTGTACCTGTTGTTGCAATGTAACTACACGGTGGAAGATGCTATAGGAAAGAAGAAAAGTCAAACCAATCCACAAGCAGGTAACTTTTGTCATTTGCCACGTATTATTAACCTTCTCTTGCCAGTCAATGCACTACTTCTTTTTCCCAAACATCCATTCCCACAGTTATTTCGCTTTGTCTTTTCTTGAAGTATCATAAGTTAATTTAGTTACCTATGGCCAAAGGTCTTTCTCTTTTGCGCAACTCACTTCCAGAGTATATTCGGGGAAGTGCCTCATTATGGGATTTTAAAACCAACATTAAGACTTACCTTTTCAAACGTGCTTACGGGGACGAGGTTTTTTTCAGCCAATGTAATACATAGAATTTCTAACCATTCATCTTCTAGAGGTTATCCGGTTTTAATTTTTAGAATTTTAGGGATTTAGCTCTCAGTGCAGCTTCGAATTTTTAAGTAGGATTTTTATCGTAACTTTAATGCAGTTCGTAGGGTACTCTTTTTATTATCATTCGATGTAAGTTTTTAATTCATTATTTTTCTTTCTTTTGAATTCTGTAAATCGCTACTTAGCTTTTCGAAATGACGCTATATAAATAAGGTTTATTATTATTATTTTGTATATCGCTCTGTTTTCATTACTGGGGACGGGATCAGCAATAGATGTAAGTTTGGCTCAGTGGGTAGTCATTAAGTTTTGAAGCAGCCATAGCAAAAGAAGGTTCACTCGTATTGTCTCACAAAACTTTTTTTGGCTTCTACCTGGATCACCCTCAACATCAAGCGAGCTCAGCCGTAACAGGCTTACAAGAACAGTACAGCTGTAAATGCAGCAGTGACTATCCTGAAAAACCTGAGAGGCTGTTAGATAATACATGTCTTAAAAGGAAAGGTAAACATTAATTGTTAGAGAAAAAGTTCATACGGAAATCTTGACATGTTGGTTAGGTGTTTGGATCGCGTTTTTCAGCAAGACTAATTTAACTGATTTCTATGATTTTTTGTATCCTTCATAAAGAGTGCTGAATCTTTACACCTCAGAGCTCTCTAGTTTTATATCTGCAAGTTTGAAGTCAATCTCGCTCAACAATGCTGGTCAAATTTAACCTTAAGATAATGCGCTACGCAATTGAGAGCACTGATTTGTATTTGCTGAAGTTAGGGAAAAATCTGTCGTAGGATTTCGAAATTGTTTACATTTTTCGTAAAAATGCGGTTTTAAATATATGCCGAATCTCAAACGTTTTTATACACCGTAATTTTTAGGGAGTTATTATAACTCCAAAAATGGAGTAAAAATTTTAGGTACAGGATAACCCCTTTTTTGGGGTTATTTTAACTCCTAATTTAACTCCGAATTTGGGGTCATTTTTACTCCTGAAAAAGAGTTCTTTTTACTCCCACTCTGGAGTTAAAATTACTCCGAAATGGGGTTATTTGTACTCCTTACATGGGTTGTTTTTACTCTTTTTGGAGTTAATTTAACTCTGAAAGTGGAGTAAAAATTTTAGGTACAGGATAACTCCGTTTTGGGGGTTATTTTAACTCCTCAATATCTGGGGTCACTTTTACTCCTGAAAAAGAGTTCTTTAAACTCCTTTTTGGAGTTAAAGTAACTCCACGAAAAATAACTCCACTGTAAGGAGTTAAATTAGCCCCACTAGAGGAGTCATTATAACTCCCTGAAAATTACAGTGTAGCTACCAGAAAAAAAAAAAATTTTCTTAAAGATCCACCATTCTTTATTAAGGAGGCCAAAAATCATAGAAATCGGTTAAATTGTTCTTCTTGAAAAACACGATTCAAAAACATAACCAACACGCAAATAAATAGGGCCGGGCCATCTTAATGCAGCCAACTGAATGATTTTGTTGTAGAGATGGCTCTGTGGTCTGAAGATGAATGCAGGGACTTTGAGAGTGGTAAGTTCTCAAAAGATAAGTCAATACAATACAATAAAGAATCTTTATTTATCCACGGTAAAATTCATTCGGGTACAAACAGGTATGGATCTATTTACACCTAGTTACAAGTTAGTTACAAGTCAACATCTAAATCGTAATTACATTTTTTCAAGCAAATATATAGGTTTAGCCAGGGCTAAAAGCGAAGCTCCCGATAATATGTATAGTTTGTTCAGTTTGTTCAAACAAAATATAACATCGTGTAATGCTAAGCGGCGAAGGCAAGCAAGGCCGGACAACGGTGAAAAGCAACAATAGGTCTAATTAGCAAAAAAGCAACTTTGAACGTGCAGCACACTTTTTTTGTACATTTCTTTGGCGTGGTTTTGCACGACTGCAACGTGAAACTTCCAGAAACTTCTTAGTTACACGTTTCATGGAGGAAATGTCGTACGTGTTCACATTTTTTTTCACTGACGCTCATTTTCACCTTGCGTTGGTGGCCGCTAGCCTTTCTCATTTTGTCACCGCCGCTACAAAATTTTGATGTTGTTCTTCCAACTAAAAAATGTCTCCTTTGTTTTGTAATCTCTCGCACTAGATCTCTGTCGCCCTTTTTCTCGTTGAGCTTCGCTGGCCTGCCGCCCACTTTCTCTTTTACTCTGTCTTTCTCTTGCTCTATATTCCAAATTTGTGGACATGACATTTTTTATCTAAGCTTAATAGTTTAGACAACACGGTTACAGAAACAATTTACGCTCTCCGATTTCGTCTTTATTGACTCTTTAGTTGTCTCTGCTTTACAAGACACCGGTGGCTATGCGATTTCCCGCCAAAATAACCTCGAGTTGCATTTGGGTTGCCATACCTGTTGATTGAGTTATTTTAAATTGGTATACCTGTGATGCGGACGGATGGTCGCTCGGTCGGTGTACGGTGACGTGACTACCAAATTTTCTCGGATGTGAAGATTACTTCCTTTTTGTTAACCAGGGTGGTCCGCTGGCGCGCTTCGCGCGCGAGCTCCGTTAAAACCCTGTTTTTCATGAATCTCGTGATTCTAGTTGTTCATGTGGTAATCGTTTAAACGTTTCGTGAATATATTCAGAGATTCTGATTGCCTCACGTTTTGAGGAAGACTATTCCAGAGAACAGAACCACTGTTCTTAGAATCTCGAAAAGTATAAGGAGTTGTGTCAGATCGACTAGTTAATTTGGAACTTAAATACTCGGTAGCAAAACCATTAAGGGATTTAAAAACCATGTCATGCTGGGTACTAAGATTTTTCCAGTTTAGGCTACAGCTGTATCCATCCGTTGTGATGTGCCGGAATCATTCGAGAAGGTCAGAACCTGAGGTGCACGATTTTGTAGTTTTTGACGTTTATCCGATAGTTTTTTGCCACAGGTTCCACAGACATCATTCCAATAATCGAAATGCGGTTAAATGAAGCCTTTGTCAATAGGATGTAATGTTGCTGGGGACAAATAGTCCGGCCTTAATAGCCAGGGCACTTTTTTTTAGGAAACTTATCAATATGGCGGGCTCATGTAAGATTTGTAACAATAAGTATCCCTAGAGATTTATTCTTTGGAGCCTGATTTATGGCTGAGCCATTTACAGGTAGAGTGGGAGATGCAGTTACGGTGTTAAGCTTCTTTCTGGAACCAATCGGCAAGAACTCGGTCATGTTTTGGAAAAGGTTGTTTGCAATAAGCCATTTGCTGATATTTTGCAAATCTGCATTTAGACAAGACTGAGTGGCGTCCATATCGTTGCCAGCGTAGGTAAGGTGCGTATCATCAGCATACTTTGATTCCAGAGTGAAATAAGCAATTTGAGAGAGTAAGTCTTTGAAAGTGAGCCATAGATAGAGCATTTTCGCGTCATTTTTTCTAAGTATGACTGAAACAAATTGAAAGTATTTCCCATAATTTCATAGGCCTTTAATTTGAGTAATAAGATGGAGGGGTCTGCTGTATCAAAGGCCTTTTTGAAATCGATAAAAACTATCGCGTCAACGTTACCGCGATCAATTTCAAAAGCCTAGCTATCGGTAGCTTCTAATAGAGTAGGAATTTTTCAAGCTGAGGTTTTTTACTTGAATAGCAGGCGACAACTAAAGCGGAAATGTTCACTTCTTCTTTCACACAGCCACAGCGACTTCCACAGGTTTGGTAAAGTATCGTACCGCACAACTCGCACGTCTTCGGCACAATTATCAGCAACTTTCACCTACATTAACACACCTTCCTGACTTATCGCCTTTGTAAATCGTTTCATTGACAAAGCATAATTATTGATTATTGATTATTTCGTCTTTAAAAACGTCGAAAACAGCCCATTCTGTCAGTTCTATGCCAACTGCCGCCATTTTGGAAAAATGATTCGCAACAGAGTTTGCAGGTTGGGGCAGGACTCTGATCATGTTGTTTCTTAACCCTCAAGTAATAACTGTTATTGCGAATTGGCACTGCGATATGCAAATGTGTCACTCAGATGTAGACACCTCTCGTAAATCAGTGGGCTCCCGACGAAAGCGCCCGATATCAAAACGACAACTGTCGTAAATCGTTCCTGGTCCGCGATGTGCTGATTTTGGAAATTTCACAGGAGTCACAGGACGATTCTTGTGGACTTTGAATGTTTCAAATTACTATGGCTAACTTTGAGACAGAAGGTTCTGAACCTTTTTGACTCGTCCAGGCGATAAACATGACGAAAAGTCTTCGACTCCAAAGCTGGTCCAAGCTCACGATTGTGCCGTGAGTCTCACGATTTTTTAACTTTTTTCACGACAAGACTCCTAACCTCATGGTTTTTAGTGAAATATTCTGAAATGAACGTTTTTTGTTCAATGAAAACGGAAATGTTTACTGTTGCTGAATCGTAATTGATTCTCCTCGTGTAAACGCCGAGTATCGCAAGCTGCAAATGACTTCGCGACGGTTTGGCGAGACTCTTGTTGGCCATATGTTCTTTAAATGCGACGAAATGAGTTAAGGTACGGCTTTAACTGTAAAAACATGCTTATTTTTCTCGAATATATCTTTCAATTCTTCATAAATAAAGCTCTACCGGCTTCAAACAGCGTCGACTGGCAGAATTTCATGGGCAAAAGTGTTAAAGATGATTAATTTAACAAGCATCTTCAAACCGTCCAGTGAAAGAAGCCAAGAAAACGAAATGTTATAACAGACTAATTTATAAAAAGTCTCAGGTCTTGTGGCCCACAGTTTCTGAGTTATTTGTCGAAATGTTTCTCGCACCTTTGTAGAGCTTTGTATGGAGACGCCATATTTGTGGACCGTTTTGGTGCACCAATAATTAATTCAATATGGCCGCCGTATCGGTAAATAGTTCAATTTGTCCCCATTTTTTTGTTTTTTTTTTTCGTAAAACATATTTTTATTTTTTGACAGACTTAGAATATACCGGTAAACTAATTGCAGGTTCATTATCAGCTTTCATTTCTTAAGTACAGTCACAAGTTAGCCTTAGGCACCCTTTGATTCCTTGTTGCGGCGAGTACGTTAGGGACACAATATTCACGTCTCCACGGGACCGCCATTTTACGTGGTCATCCGAGCCACGCGAAGGTCTAGCCATTTGCAGTACCTTCAATTCACAGTTATTTTAAGACCCTGAGTGTTGGTCCGGTCCCGTGAATCGAACCCGCGACCTCCCGCTCTGCAGTCCAGCGCTCTACCGCAAGCTGTTAGCTCCGCGTGCCGGAAACTTAAAAATTCAAGATATATTTTATCTCTGGATACTATGTCACGATCATGCAACCCGTCTGAAAAAGAGACACTTCTCACACCCTTTCAAATCACAAATAAAGGACAAACAAAAACCTGAGAAGTTAACCGTGTAAACTATCTTTTGCCAAAAAGAATTAAAGCAGAAGGGAGCGTGACCTTCCAAAATTGCCGAAATTTCCAACTACAACGTTCTTTGTTATTTTAGTTTCATTATTATAGTCATATATATTATCTTTTTCTTGCTTATCTGAAAGTTGTAACGTATACCGTAATATTTCCATTTCGTTTTCATAACATTTCTTGTTTTGTGAATTGGTTTAACCTCAATCATTTTTTCCTTCGTTCCTTTCCTTATTTGCAAATAAGCATCAGCCAGCTCGAAGCTTTACTACTTTTGCTGTTGCACGCTGATTTAAAAATTGTACGTTTTTGTTTTTTTAATCTCTACCATTTTGTTCTCCATAGTTTCTTGTATTATCTTTTTTTTACTCTATCCGAATAGTGTGAAAAAAAAGATGATGATGGTGACAAAAACAACCGTTTCCTTCCATACAAAACCTATTTCAAGGGTTATACTTACACAATATTGTTATGGTGGGATAAATATTACTTCGCCAAACGTTCCTGCGAAGGAAGACTAACACATTTCGTAGGACCCTTTTCGTAACCGCGGCAGAATTAGTTCAGTCGGAGAAGCGCGAATTCGAATCCTGTCAATTGAGTGTGTGTTTGTTTTCTCTTTCTTTCTTTCCTACTTTTGGCATTTTTCACCATCAAACGCGCGCACATATTCACTCAAACAAGCTAGGTGTGAAGAGACGCGGAATGCCGAAAAGAGACAGATTACAGATTAATGTTTGACTTGGGGCGTTTATTCAGTGTCAAATATGGTCTAGCCTGTGTACAGACGCCCTCCTCCTCTCTGAAAAAATCGGGGAGAGACACGGGAGGGGGGTGTCTGTACACAGGCTGATATGGTCTGATTCGTTACCCGTATTAAAAATCCCTAGAATTGTAGCTAGCCCGACTTCACGTTCAACAAGCGTTCTTAGTTGAGTTGAGCAAGCAGTAATAAAGGGACCGGCAAAGCGTTCCGACCTTCAAATTGGGGGCAAAAAAGGCGCGGCAGAGACGCGCCCGTGCTTTTCTTTTTAATTTATTTCTTTGCGCCATTTTCCATACGTTGTATTGTACATTCCGCTTAATTATGCCATTCCGCAAAGTCCTTCCGTCCTTTACCCTCACCGTTGTTTACAGTGTTGTTCAATTCACTTTCCATGTTCAGGATCCCCAGTGATCCTTTGTTGACACTAGAACTAAAAAGACTTTCTCTGATTCACCTACAAAATTATAAAAGCGGTTCTCGTCAATCACATCGCCAAGGTAAACCCACATTTTCGCTCGCACTTCCTAGCCAACGGCTACTGCTAGTTTATTTCTTTTTAAGAAACTTTAGGTAAGGCAAAGATAAGTGATTATTATATAAACACCAATAAAATACCAGGTGAGCTTTCGCGCGAAAACAGGATATCTTCACACTTGAAAATAACATGTGAAAAGATCACCGTTGCTATCGCAACATAATAAATCGCGCCTTTCGCCGCAAAAAAACTATTTAAGTGAAATGGTTTCGCATTCATCGGTGTTTATATAATAAATAGAACATTAGATGGCCGCTTGGAGAAACGAAATTTATCTTCGAGTGTAGCGTGGCCATGTAATATCCTCTATCTTTATCGATGAGAGCTGACTTTGTTGTGTGTCCAAGGGTACGTCCCCATAGCGTTAATTAATTATTAATTCAAAAAAACTTACAAGGCGCAAGTATCTATATAAATATTTTCAAATGCGTTTTGTTGTTTTTGTTTTTTTTTTCCTTTTTCCTTTCATTTTCAGGCCTAAGAGTTTATGGAAAGGATTTCAGACAAATACAGAAAAACAAGGTGAATGTCCATTTTCTAGTCATTGCGATAGTTGGTTATTTTTCATTGAGAATCATTTCACCTTAGATAACAATTTTTCACTGAAGTGGAGGTGGCTAGTGGTAAATAGCCACCACTAGCCACCGACACTGTGATGAATTATTGTTTAAGTATATACTACAACAGTGAGATAATTGAGCACAAAATTGATAATTTTTACTGCTGCCAACGATTACAATTTTTGCGCGCAAATGACCGAACGGCCGTCGCGTTTTCTTGCCGACAAATAAAACTTTTGAAGGCTTTTATCTCTTGTGGGAGATTTCTTCAAAAGGGGTTGTGAATTATCTTTCTATTTGAAACCACCCCGTAAAAAAATATTAAATTTAGTTTTAAACTTATTTATGAACATGTCAGCTAAATAGAGTAACGCAAGCCTTTTTCGCTTCTTTAATCGATAAATTCAAGTCAAACAGACTAAGCGTTACCTGTAAAACTTCCAAACCGAATTTCGTCAACTTCTTCGTGTATTTCGGGAACAGCTTGTTTGATTATTTGTGACATTTATTTGTTTGTTACGGCAGCAAACCGGAAAGCCATTTTAGCTCATTTTGTTCGTAACGGGAGTTTGGCGTCGCTCGGAGGAGCAGCTGAAGGTGAAACGGTGAATAGCACTGGATATCCCGACTTTTAGTTGCCAATCAGAGCGCGCGAAAAACACTATCCACTGTTTTAGTATATACTAAAAACACTTATTACATTAAATAAAAGCATGTGAAATAGAGATTACTAAGAACTACAGTTAATCGACTTTTTCTTTTATTTACTACGTTAGTTTTTTAGTTTTTAGTATTGTTATTTTTTTGTAAAATTGCATTAATTAGAATAAGATTGTGATGGGAAAAAAGATCCTTGTGCCGTGTTTGGATGTAATAATGATCGCCTTTTTTTCTTTTTTTGTAAAAGAAATTTTTCGATGATCTTTAGCTTATCATCAAAAAAATATTTCCCGAAAATGATGATTTTTTTTCTTGGATGGTCCCCTGAACGCTACTTTTGTCAGTAATCTTAAGAATTGTTTTAATATCAAATCAGGTTATATCAAGGACTGTGGGAGAAATCGTACAATTCTATTATTTATGGAAGAAAACAGAAAGGCATGATGCATTTGCTTGCCAGACTCGTTTAACAAAGAAAAAATACGCTTTCCATCCCGGAATCACGTAAGTACATGCCAAACTTAGATTAGGTGCTGTTAAACTAGACCTTGTCCCCAAGGCTCCCTTTCGAGAAGAGCATTGTGCTTCAAGATAGGAATATTTAGACGTTTCAAGATTCTTTCTTTTTAGTTTGGTGTCGTTCTTTAACCTATTAAAAAAGGAATTAGTTCGTTTCCAATTTGCGACCTCGTAAAGTTTAACCGGTTGTTTCATCGAGTGCTTAAAAAATTAAAATAGATTAAATGGTCGATAACATTTTTTTACCGTAATTTGAGTCACGGTGAAAGTGCAGATGACACGAGCTCAAATTGTTTTTTGTTCAAGCGATTCATCTCGAAGCTCACAAAAATTGACCTTTATATAGTTAAAACCCTACATTTACTTCATAGCGGAACCCCATTGCAAACAACATTTGGTAATCTATCCATCTGAGACTGAAATTTCGGTTATGACGTCAAGTACGACCGAACGCCGACCGAAAGACGCTGAAGGAGAAGTCAGGAGTCAGCCCGTCGGGGGGAGCAGCATAGCCCCATGGCTAAAACATTTGGTTCTGTCCATTCGAGAAATGCTGATAGTAAGCTAGTGTGGGCTGGTATTGCTCATTCAGATTATCATCAAAGACAGCTATCAAAACAGGGTATCCGCTGACCAGTATCACATGACCTTAACGCGGGCTCCAGTTTCGACCCATTGAGGTTGCGTGTTTTCTTGAGGTCCGCCGCTACTGATCGCAGTCTCAAGATTATTTTTTTAACGCATATAGCACGTGAAATATTTTTGTGCTTATGAGCCAGCGGCCGGACGCGAAAAGTCAGCCTTTTTACAGGTAGGGAAGGCATTTGCTATTAAGGTGTTCATGAAATCGTTGAGTTCGTCTTTGTGTACCGCGGTGAATGTGTGGTCAACGTAGCGTAACCAAAGAGGTATAGTAACCTAGCCTGGGACCAGGTTCCGCAGTGGAAGAAAAAGGCAAAAAACGGGGCCAAATAGGAAAAATATCGGCGAGCGAAGCGAGCCTAGCGGTGACCTGGGGAGGGGGAAAGGACGGCGGAGCCTGGAAACATGCCTTTGACGCCGCCGTTCCTTGATACCAGATTCTGGAATCATGCTCTGACTGGTCAAATGTCTTCATGTTGACAGATTCGAGGTGCCGTTGACAGTATCGCGCTCTTTCAATGTCACGCTCCTACAATTCGGAAAAACATTTTTAAAACACGGATAAATTTGGAGCAAGCAATACAAATGTCTTTGCGAGACTTCAGCTGAGACTTTTCGTTTATCCCTCGGCTCCAAGAGCAAAAAATATGCCTGTGATCTGTTGTAAAAAGAAAAAGAAGCATTCAAAATATCGAGCTTTTCTTATACTCTCTTGTGATAAATTACGATCACATTTACAAAGCGATTGACTTATAAACCGACGTTCAAAAGACACAGCATTATAATCAGGCTCCTACCGAAAACATGAAAAAACCCAACGTGCAGTGTATGTATGCAAAGAATGCCTGTTGCGTAAAACTAAGCCTTGTGCTCCGAGAACACGTAAACCACAACTTTACGGAGGTATTCTGTGAGCAGTTCTCTCTTGCATGGCTTTTTGGGTTTGCGAAGTCGTTCGCGTCGCTTGTCTGTTGCTTAGTTAACAAACCAAATACGCAACTGACAAGCGACGCGAGCGACTTCGTATAAAACGCTAAAATCTTTGCATGCAAGAGAGAAACCTCTGCTCGCAGGCTAGTGCAAAGATAACAACGGTTGAGGAAAATCAGGGGAAATGATTATTACTGACCAATAGCAATCTTTCGTCTGTTACATTGTAAGAAGCTATGTCAACGAGCATTATGACGCGACCTGCGAACTTGAAGGATTTCCTTGATAATCTATTCGGCTGTTCTTCACCGGTCGCATTCGACGCGATGTCGTCTGTAGGTAGTGGTAGTGACACATTCACCACTGTACACAAAGACGAAATCGACAATTTTCACGAACCCCTTAACAGACAGAACACGGACGCACAGTTTACCAAGAAGATCGAGAAAAATGCTGTAAGACCTTTTCATTACTGCTTGGTCACTCGCGACAACAAGACTACGAACGACAATTTACAGAAAACCGACACCTACCGACCGATTACTAGACCAGTCATCGTGCAACTCGACCTCTCATAAAGGGGACAACTATACGGACTTTGACGAGACGAGCGCAACCAGTTTGCGATTCGCCTGGCAGCCTGCAAGACGAGACTGACTACCTAAACAACGTTATTAGTAAAACAACTACAACACGGACGACTCACAGTAACGCTGATTCCAAAACTCAGACTAACGTCAACTCTGGCCCTGTTACGACAGGAACTATACCTTACATTAGAGGCACCTCTGAAACTATCGCACTTGTACTATACAACCTTACAATATACCTGTTGCACATAAACCGATAATTACGACGACTACTTACTAATGTCAAGGACAAAGACAAACCGGAGGACAGACAGGGAGCAGTATACAAGATCAAATACTGCGACTGCCAGGCTACTTATATGGTGAAACCGGTAGAAACCTAAGCACACGACTTAACCGAACACAAACGAACGACGAGAAATGGTTACGTCAACAATCACATTGCTGAGCACCATTTACAGGCAAAACATCAAATCGTATTACGTATTCTACAGACTACTATCAACGACTCACTTTAGAAAGCTGGTTTACTAACTTCAAACAAACTCCACTGAATCGTTGTGAACAGTTACCGGCACAGTACAAACGACTTATTGACGGAATCGAGCAAAACTAACTCCGAGAGAACGACTGGACAACTGGTCAATTTGACTAAAAATAAACGACTGGTTAACTATGCAATAGACTCATCGAAACGAACCAATGAAATTACAAGTCTTCATAGCCAATAACATCACGGCTTTACTGACAGACGACCTATAACATCGCGATTTAATTGACCAATCAGATTAATAACCAGAGTTTAATACCATCAACTGACGTGATAAAACTCACTTTCACTCTGAAGATGACTACTCCACAGGTTGTCGAAAGGTCAGTCACTGTCAACAACAACAGTCCTATTCAAGACTACGTTGACCCGGACGATCATATTCAGCCTACTTATGAAATTACTCCTGGGTTCAAACCTTTCACAGTTTTAGAACTTTTTATTAAATACGTTATCACAGCTATTGAAAAAAAAAGTACGGTTTGAAATACATTTACGTCGATTTCAATGTTCTTTGAACATAGCCAGTCTTAACGTCTTAATAAAGCTGACAGTTTCGATGACTGTCAGCCATCTTTATCAAAACTTGAAAAACATTAAAAGTGTCAGAAGCCTTAAATAGGCTTCTGAAGGTGTTAATTATTGCGATAAACGCGCAAAGTCACTCTGTAGACGCCCCATCCCCCCCTGTTTTGGGGGTGGAGATTACTCGTGTCCATATGGGAGAAAGCGAAAAGGTATATATCGGTGAAACAGGGAGACAGCTGGGAACCAGGATCACAGAACACGGAAAGGAAGCAGAAAAGATCTCTGACAGAAATTTCACAAGATCCACCCGCAGAGCTTCTACCAATGAACACCATTAATCAGCCATAACAGACCACGTCTGTCAGAACAATCATATTATGAATTGGAAAGCAAGTGAAATAGTTGAGCAGGAAAGCGACAAGTTTAAGCGATAGATCAAGGAAAGCATATGTATTAGATCGAACACTCCTACTATAAACAGGGACGAGGGAGACTATCAGCTTTCTCCCATATGGACACAAGTGATCTCCACCCCCAAACCAGGGGGGATGGGGCGGCTACAGAGTGACTTTGCGCGTTTATCGCAATAATTAACACCTTCAGAAACCTATTTAAGGCTTCTGACACTTTTAATGTTTTTCAAGTTTTGATAAAGATAGCTGACAGTCATCGAAACTGTCAGCATCATTAAGACGTTAAGACTGGCTATGTTCTAAGAACATTTAAATCGACTTAATAACTTCACTAGCCTGATGAATTTCTTCAAGAATACATTTACGTGTTATTTGAATTCAAGCATACAGATTTTTTTTACTTCTCACAGAGGTTATTTGCTTAATGCCACACTTTAAGTTCCCTGTGCTGGCTTTTCATAGTTCAAAGTTTTTTGCTATTGCTGTCATAGTGATATCGATGTAACTGAAAACTGCATTTTGACAAACTTTAATTGATAGTCAATCACTGGTGAAAATTTCACAGCGATCGGATAGCGATAAAAAACTTTTAAGGGGATTGAAAAATCCTTGGTGTGGTCTCCGAAAAACTGTATCGAAACACCTTAAGGTGTATAATTGTCTACGAAGTGAGACGCACTGACAGATGTCCTTTTGTCTCGATTTCCGCTCTTATTCATTCGAGGCTGCTGGACCAAATTGCTTTATTGTTCTCTGTAAAATACTTCTGCCGTGGAATGTAATCGCCAAAAGCATTTCTCGATCTCCAAAACGGCCAGTCCAGACAACGCCGACCAAGTTTTTCGTTTGATGACGACATTGCGTTGCGGAAAAATGCTTTTCAACGTTGCACCGTGAGTTGAAAAGCCTTTTCGTTACGGTTCGTAGCATTGTTCTCACGACGGTGAGAATCTTTTCTTTTGTAGATTTCTCAGTAAGGGTACATAATTATGTTTGTTGACATGTTATGAATATTTGTAGAAATATCGATGTTTTATCTGTTTTTTTTTGGCTATCTCGTCTTTATTGACAGCCGCTAGTTTGTTACCGAACTTAATATTGCTAAACTTAGTTTAGCTCTAACCTCGGATATCAATACGCTGCTTTCGATTGAGAAGTACGTTCCCGGGTTTTTTTATTCCGGGTTTCCGTACCGGGCAGTGTATCATTGCTATGCAGTTTTTTCTAGGTTTTTCTCTTAGCCTTAATTCTTTGTCTTGTCTTTTCACTGTTTTTTTCTTTGGGACTATTTCATATTTCATTTTTCATGTTTGCTTCATGTCTGCGTGTCCAGGTAGATCTTAGAGTTTATATGAATTCATAATTTTGACATTTTTTAAAGATTATTTGTTAATTATTGTTGAATAGTAATTGTTATGTACTTTTTGTGCATTGTTATCCCGACTATGTTGACACTACGTATAGATATTTTGTTAATAAAGCGCTGGTCCTTACTATCCATTAGACATCCAGCACAAGTCACACTCCATTCTGTTGTCGCGTTATTTATTCGGCGTTTAGTGCGCTGTGCGGAGGGTAGTAATGAAATACCATCCAAGTTTGCAAGCCGCTATGCTCCACGCCCGAACTGTGCACTGGGCGCGCGGCAAAATTATAAACCTCGCTTCGCGAAGTAAAAACTCAGTTGGTAAATAAGGACAGTTTAATAGTCCCTAGTCGTTGCATGTCATAACATTTTATTATTTTTTTTGTCAGTGAAAAGAAATTGTACGCATAGGGGCAGCTAAGTGTTTAGACCCTAATATCATCAATCAAATTCTCCAGACTACATAAGCGGGGCGGATCGAGAAAATTCAGAAAGGGGCGGCCGGAACCCTTAGCTATGAAGAATACTATTTATTTTACTGGGAAGTCTTAAAAAATAATAGAAAATATCACTGGTAGGTTTTAAACAATTAAGGACTATTATTACTTGTTCTTTTTAATGCTCCAAAGGCATAGGACTCTTGAAGCATGTTAGCCCGTTTCTTAAGCAACGTCAAAGGGAAACCTATTACAATGGTGTTATAAAGCCCACCCTCTATGGGATCATGATATAGGACAGCTGCAATGCCGAACATCTTCAAAGTATTTTAAAACTTCAAAAAAGAGCGGCACGCATTATACTCGATGCTGAAAGACTTACACCATCAGTCATATTATTCAATAATCTAAACTGGCTCCCTTTTACTAAACAATCTCTAATAAAGAGATGCGCACTAGTGTATACGTGGGTCCACTATTATATTACGCCTAGTTATTTAAATTGTCTGTTAGTCAGAAATTCAGAAATTCATAATCGAGCCACTAGACATTCAAACATAAATCTGGTGTGCCCCAAGTATAAACGAAAAACAGAAGGAGGTCGTGCTTTCACTATTAGGACAATAAAGGACTGCAATTGCATGAATGCCAATATAAGAAATAATGGCTCGCTAGCAAGTTTTAAGCATAACGTTTTTAAATCCTTTCTAGCTGAACAAAAGGCTGCGATGCTCTCCTTAGACTATAATTGTATATACGTTTTATGTTGTTTTTTATCTATCTTAGTCATAATGTCTTTTTAGGAATCATTTATTATATTTTATCCTAAATTATCTTTGAAAATAGTATATTTTATAGTTTTTAGTTGTAGAGTCTATATTTGTAATTGTTTTAAGGGCCACAGAGTCATCAGTATCTTAGGACTACTGTTAAGTGTTTTACCCTCTTTAAATAAAGCCTATTATTATTTTATTATTATTAATGCTGGGCTAGCACAGATGAGCTCTTCCCGCCGGTGGGGACGACAACATTCTTTGTCAAATAAATAGGAAGATAAAAAAATAAATAAATGTATTTTTATGTAAATGTATGTATTGGAAGGATTGTAATTTGATTATACTTTGTTGTTTTAGAAACGTAAGAGAGGGCTACCTTCGTGCTAAGGTTACCCTAGCAAGCGGGTTAAAGCTAGCTCTGGTTTACAAGCAAATTTCACAGTTAGGGTTAACCTAACACTAGGGTTACCCTTCCTCCTTGTAAACAGGTCCTCGGCTGTGTTTGGCCTCGTCCACATGTATCCAATTATTTTTGAAAACTGAGATTTTTCCTCCGTTTTGAAAAAAAAGGTGTTCACACGTAGCGTATTCGAATCGTTTTCACCTGACCACACGAAAACGCTGAGACGGTGGAGATACGATTGCGTATCGTACAGGGCGTGCGCTGTGTGACGAATGACATCATCGTATTCGGAAACCTTTACTCCGCAGAGCGTTTTTGAAAAGATGCGTTTTCAGTGACTGTTTTTACCGGATACGTGTGATCAGTAGGCCAAACCGGAAAAAAAGAAATCTCCGTTTCTTGAAGATAAATTGATGCAATAGTTGCCTCAGTCGTACCTGTTTTTATCTTTTTATTTATATATTTTTATATTGATTTAACCTCATTTTTGCGTTTGCATTAGGGATTACATGGACAGGTTTCTGGATGAAAACGAAAGTGCAGCATCTAGTCGTGCCTCCAGTCCACACAACTTCTCATCAAAAGCACGACCAGGAAATGGAGCGAGTCCTGTTTCTACTCAGAGCCAAAGCCATCAGCCAGTAGCAACACAGCCGTATGCTGTACATACAGTGGCAGCACCTACCTCAGCACAAAGCACTGGTCTCACTATAAATGTTTCAAATTCCAACTCTCTGTCTATTACCCTGACAAGAGGAGATGCCAGTGATAAATCTCCTAACAGACTCATGCAGCAGCAGCAATCGTGTGTACCAACATCCGTTATAGTGTCAGGTCCAGACTCCGGTAGTGAACCTCCTTCTAAAAAGCTAAAAATGCTTCCTAGTGGAAAACCAAAGTTAATCAGCAGCATGCTAAGTAAACCTCCACCTTTAAAACCTATTGCAACTTCAGAATCATCAACTTTTCATACAAGTAGCTTGGGCAGTACATCATTGGTGTCAAGCGGGGTGTCCGGCTTTAATATATCTAATTCACATGAATATTCTTACTTAGCTGCAGTTCGAAAAACGCCTGGTCCAGACTCTATTCTCTTTACACAGCACAAGTGATTAATATTTATTTGGATACCATAAAGAAAATTTAACCACAAAGTAATCAGCAAATGCATGAACATAAACAAGGAACACACCTGAAGACAAATTAATTTACTCTAAAACTGGTTAGTTTGAATCACCGGCAGATGAGTTATGTTGTTGTATGAATTTTTAAAGTTCTTTCACAATGTGCAAGTATTGTTTTTAGGTTATGCATATTGTAATAAATTTTAGGTGCATACTCAGTACATAGATCCACTCGTCTTGTCCTGTCAGGGTACTCAAATTTCTTTTATATCTCCTTTTAGAATGTCCATTCCATAGACCTCTACATAGTAGTAATCTATTAATAAGTTTACCCCTAGGTATGTTATTTGGATTAGCTGTCATCAACTCAGTTGAGAGGCTCTTCCGTTAATGCTGACTTTTATATAAATCGCTATGACCCATGCTATTCTAGGATGGCTGGCAATAAAGGTAAGCAATCGCAATGTAATAGGGGCTGATTACCTAATCTAGGCTGGCCCGGTTTGACGGGTTGCTGAGGTGACTTTTACCCCGATATTACATGGGGTGGGACAGCCCAGAGCTGCTATGTTTACGTGCACATGTAAAGTTTTGTGTTGCCCACTACCCCTTTGCTTGTAGGTTTGCCGGGATGGCCTGGCGAGTATGATTACATGGACAATTTTCATCCCGGTTAGCTGGGATGGTATCACAATACCGGGATGGCGCGGTTGTCGTCCAGTCACGAAGATGACTTTTGCTTCATGTAATCAGGCGCTTACGTTACTACCCCGCGAGCCTAAACAAGTTTCTACATAACTGGTAACCAGAAGCACATCCTGACCTAACCTGTTTCAATGCAGTTCTTGTCTATAGAGATTAAGGGCCCCCTTAGATGGAGGTGGGGGACCTCAGCTAGGTTAGGTAACCCTTGGGTAACCCGCCTGTCTGTAGTTAGTTGTTGTCCTTTTTGCTCTCACGAACTTTCGTGATAATATTGCTCAAGTTCTCCCTCTTTACAACAAAATAGACAAGATGGGTGGCAAGAGATGAGATCTCAGCCGCCATTACACCCTTTCCAACACCAACACCAAAGTTGTAGTCTTTATGCACCTGAAGCGTGGCAAAAGGTGACTAACCACGGTGATCTGTCCATCGTTGCATGGGAATACTTTGGCGTGACTGCAGTCCTGTTATTAGGGACCTTGCGAAACTACGAAGGCTTCGACGGAAGCTTAATAAAGGAACAAAAGTAACAAGCACAAAAAATAGATTTAGTCGGGTTTACGTATTTCCGTAAGTTTCTTTGCTGTTCTCCATCAACTGCAACGTGAAATGACCAAAGTGTTAGTTCTTCGAGAGAACCATCCTCGGAGACCCAGGGGCAGTCAGTCGGGCGGGGTTAAAAGGCGCGACGAAAGTTTTCAAGCATGGGCTGAAGAGCCCCTGGGTACTGACTCTCACCGGACCATTTCCAAACGGTCAAGCGAATGCTGGCTCATGATTGGGCACAAAAAATGCTTTGTATTATTGTGCCCAATCGCGAACAGCATGTCCTGAGTTCTTTTCGTGGGTTCGTACACGAC